AGCACTCTTCTCGCTACTCGTTTCAAGTTAAGTTCTAATCAAAGTCCTTCAAGTGAAGATGAAGCATTTGATATGAAACGTGTTCCTTATACATCTATTGTGGATAGTTTTATGTATGAAATAGTATGTACAAGACCGGATATAACACATGATGTTGGTAGTGTACCATGTAGATTTTTGTCAAATACAGGTAGAGAGCATTGGAATGCTGTAAAATGGATTTTAAGGTATCTTCGCGGTACTACTTCTATGAGGCTTTGTTTTGGAGGAGATATGCCTACTCTAGTGGGATACTTTGACTCTGATATGGCTGGAGACATTGATTCCAGAAAGTCCACTTCAAGCTACATAATTAAATTTGCAGGGGGGACTTGTTGCTTGGCAGTCTAGATTGCAAAAATGTGTAGCACTATCTACTACAAAGGCTGGGTTCATTACAATTACTGAAGCATGCAAATAGTTACTATGGTTGAAGAAATTTTTGCAGGAGCTTGGTTTTGTTCCAGACAAATATGTGTTATTTGTTGATAGTCAAAGCGCTATTCATCTTGATAAGAATCAGATTTCTCATAATAGGTCCAAACACATAGATGTGAGATATCATTGGATACATTATGTCTTGGATGCTAAGATGTTGGAGTTAGATAAAGTTCATACAGATGATAATGGTTCTGATATGATAACTAAAGCATTACCAAGAGGAAAATTTGAAGCTTGTTGTGATATCACCGATTTGGCGATTTCCTCCACATAGTTATGAGGGGGAGATTTGTTGGATTTGGGCTCCCTTCCTATGTGGAGAAAGACACATATGATTAGCCCATTTTATCACTTAATTAAGTGGAGAGGATCAATTTAGGGTTAAGAGAGATAGAGAAAAAAATAAGGATTCAAAAGAGAGAAAAGAGGAGATAAACGCATTCTCATTTTTCTGCAACTAGTCTCACTAAATCGACGGTCCCCAATTCGTTAACTTTTGGATTGAGATCAAATTTGGTAAGCAGGTTCGTAACACATATATCTAACTTTTGATTGTTCATAATTTCAATACAACGTCTGAGGTGAAAATTATTTGCTTCGCACTGAAGCTGCAAATTTAGGAAAATTTTTCAGCTTTTTTATTCTTATTTATAAGCTAGTTTGCTTTGTGATTTGTGGTTGTAAGCACTAGTTTGTGAATCACTTTAAGAATCTCTTGTACCCTTAATTGATTATAGTGGAGTTATTTCTTTGGTTTGGACGACTCGTGGTTTTTACTCTCATATTGAGGGGTTTTCCACGTTAAAAATATCAGTGTTCTTTTGTGCCTTTATTTGTTCGATTTTCCGTCTTATATTTGTTTTTTGATCCTTAAGATTCTTACAAGTTTCGAGAAATTTTATATCCGCTGCGTATTGGTCTATTATTGTGTCTTAATCTCCCATCATCTATACACGTCCTGATACATCATTTATTGTTAATCTATTAGCAAGATATAATTCTTCACCCACACAAAGATATTAGAACCAAGTCAAACATATATTTCATTATCTTAGAGGTGCAACGGACATGGGTTTGTTTTATTCCAAAGTATCTAAATTTGAGTTAATAGATTATGCAGATGCAGGTTACTTGTCATATCCTCATAATGGTAAATCACATACAAGTTATTTGTTTACATGTGGCAGAACAACTATTTCTTAGATATCTATGAAACAAACCATAACATCAATTTCATCTAATCATATAGAACTTTTAGCACTACATTAGGCAATTCGAGAATGTGTTGGTTAAAATCCTTAATTCAACACGTACAAAAGACTTGTGGTTTGGCTTTTGGAGAAATAAATACAACAACCATATATGAAGATAATACTCCATGCATTGCTCAATCGAAAGATGGTTACATCAAAGGAGATCAAACAAAACTCATTTCTCCAAAGTTCTTTTTCACTAATGATCTTAAGAAGAGTGGTGATATAAGCATCCAACAAATCCGTTAATGTGATAATCTTGCAAACGTTTTAACAAAATCACTCCCTAGTGGAACTTTTAACCAACTCTTTTTCCTTCACTGATTTTTTTCCGGCTTGATTTTTTCTAGTAAGGTTTTAACGAGACATATTCTTATGAACATCCAAGAAAAAGTGTTATAAATGACATAATTACGTGTGTCCATCAATTAAGAGATTTCATATTGATTTTTCATTTATTACACATGTCCTATAAATAAGATTTATGCTGTATTTGAACCATGCACCTTAAATGAGAATAATATAATAAATTCTCTTTACTCTCTTATGTTGTTTTATTCAATTTTATAATATATTTTTTCAGCACCGATATTCAGTTCATTGGATCGATTAATCCAATTCAGAGATTAGTTTTGATATCAAGTAATTCTAACTTCTTCCAATCATAATTACGGAGGATCGAATCATTATTCTCTCAAGTAAACTAAACGCAGCGTCAATCACCATTAAAGTACCTATCCATTAGTGTTTTATAAAATGTATTGAATATGTGTATTTGTCATCTAGATATTTTTATTTATAATTGAATTTATGAGAAGTACTTGTAAAAGTAAAAGGCAGTGTGCCACACACTTCCCCATCACCATTCACAATCGTCGGTGCCTCAAGAATCTCCATCCAAATAAAATCTAAAGTTAATAACTCAAAGGAACAGTCAACACTAACCCATAAATAGGGTGTACAAGATTTCGCCCATAAGAAAACTACAGACACTACGTCAAATCCATGTCCAAGAATTGGCTTTTTTTATTACTTTTCTTTTTCTTTCTTACTTTAATTTATTTGTTTTTCTTTTTGAAATTTTCTAGGCATGTTTTTTTCTCTACCACTCTAATCTAGTTCAACAACCTAACTTTATAAAATTACCCAAACTAAAGTTTAAAAAGTCCCTATAAGGTCCATGATAATTGTTTACCAAGATACTAAAGGGTTGAATTTACGGTATTCTATTTATTTATTTCTAAATAATTATGACCGTTAGATCATGTATGAAAAATATATAGATTTGAAAATTATATTCGTAGTTGTTAAAATTGTTGAGAAAAACTATGTTAGTTGAAAATGATGAGAATTAAATGTTAGGTCTAAATCTAATATTAATTAGAAAAGCATAGATTGTGTAGTTTATAAATGAGAATATTTATGTATTTATTTTAAAATTTTGAATGACTATATGACATATTTTTTATAAATTATGTTGTTAATAAAAAAAAATTTTATTGCAGTAATGTTTCTTCGTGGTGATCTTAAAGAATTGATAACTACCAACACTAATACAGTGGTATCAGAAGTCGATCATTTGAGTTAAAAACCATCTCCTTTATATCTAAGTCCTCACTACACATGGTGATGGTTTCGTCGAAAAGTATCAATGAGGGTACAAATGTGTGTGGATAAAAGAACTTTTATTTGTGAGAAATGATTGTGGACAAACTCACAATTGAAGAAAAAATGTTAAGAAACATAAGTATGAGTTGGAAGTATTATGAATCAAGTGTGAGGTTAAACTCTTACATTGGTTAGAAAAGTGAAGATTGAACATTTTATAAGTAAAAGAATCTATATATTTATCATCTTAAAATTTTAGATGAATATATGATGTATCTTTCAAGCAATGTATTACTCATAAAAAAAAGACCATAATGTAAAAGTACTCCATCATAGTGACTCTAAAAAATTGATGACCCAACAAAAATTAAAGACGTTGGTTAGCGGTTTTAAAACATATTCATCTAATTCAAAAATCAATCTACTTTGTAACTTGACTCGATTTTGAATGGTTAATTAAAAAAAAAACTAATCCAATTTAATCACCCCCAATTTATACAATTTAATTTGAACTGATTTTTTAACTTTCAAATTATAAATTATATTTTCTTAATTTTATAAAAACACTAAAAATATATATTTGATATAATATGTAATATATAATATATTAAAAATTAGTTTGATAAAATAAGAATGATGTTGGTATTAAATTAAATTAATAAAAATTGACACAAATAAATAAATATTAAAATATAGGCATGTGATTTGCTTTTGGTTTGAATCAATTTTAAAGAAATCAATTCAAAATTCAATTTGAATCCTTCGATTTTCATTAAATAATATTTAAACATGTTTAATATTTTTTTTTATTTTCACATCTTTTTTAATTAATTTACAGTTTTAATTTGGATTTATTTAATTAAAATTAAGAATGGAAATTCGATTCATCTCAAAATAAATATAAACATAAATTCATATAATTATCTATTAACATAAGTAAATTCAAGTGCAGAAAAGAATAATTTAGTATCACCTTTCACATACACTTATACTATATATTTATTTATTTTATAATTTAACAATAATTTTTAAAAAACTTTCTATTATTCTTTAAAACTTAAATGATATCATATTTTATATTTTATTTATTTATTTTTATTTAAAATGTAGATATTAGATCCAAATATATATCCTTACATGTTTAAAGAATCCTGACACAAATGTTTCACGAATTTTTTTCAACCACAAATATAAATAGAATAATGTTAACTTGTTTTTCTATCACACACGTTAAAAAAACATTTATAAAAAATTTATATTAAAAAATAAAAAATAAAAAAATTTTATTTTTATTAAAAATATTACACAATTTTCAAAATATTATTTTTATATTTAATTGTTAACTTTTGTTCTTAAAACACAAATTACCATTAAGATGAGTATCTCGTCAAACTCCATCATGTTTCTTAATTACTAGAATACTCTTTATTTAATTGACTAATAATATTGAGAAATTAGAAAAGTCTAGAAATCAATCTTGAAATATTTCAATTAATTCGTTGGTTTCCATTTCCCCATATTTTGACCATTACTATTACTCCATCTTTCTCCACACCTATATATAAATGTTTCCACTCTTCATTTCTTCATAACCCTACTTTTCTTCTAACTTTCTATACTCTCTTATTCCTTCTTCACAATATTTCTTGTTAGAAATACATGGAGGAAACTAAGATGCCAAAAAGACCTAGAGAACCCCAAATGGAAAGAGATTTGGATTTTGAAGAATCCTCAAAGAAACACAAACCATACAATCACATCCTCTCACTTCTTGATTTAGAGGAAGAGGAATCCACACAAGACCTCTCTCCTATGATCAGAACCCTCCAACAAGAAATAACACGCGCCTCAGATAATTACCAAGATACCCTTTTGATATCCCAAAATGACCAAAATAACCTCACTTCTTTCGGTTGCAATATTTTAGAAGACGATTCTACCCTTTCTTGTTTTTCTAGTACTACTTCTCAACATGTCTTGAAAGAAGAGGAGGAGGAAGATGAGAAAGTAAAAGTGATGAGACATCTTCTTCAAGCCTCTGATGATGAACTTGGAATTCCAAGCACTAGTGGAGATGATTATGGGGTAGTTGGTTTTGGTGGTGAGGATTATGGATTTAACGGTGGAGATGAGTTTTCTTCTTCTTTGTGTGATAAGTTATGGGAACTTGAAGATGAAAGAGCTAATTATTATTCTTTGTTACAGTCTGAACTCTTTCTGTGGGGAAATTAGGAAACTAAAATTGTCATAAGATGAAATTTAGAAGTGAAAAATGTTATATTAGAAAAAAAGAAAGATCACGAAGGCAATTTTTTTGTTGCTTCTTTAATTTTATTTTCTTTTATGAAGTCCTCTTTTGTAAAGAAGGAGACGTACTTCTTTGTTGCTGTTGGATTAATGGTGTAGGTATATCTGGACTTGGCACAAGAATATTACTATTAAGTTAATATACAAACTTAATCTGAGACTAAAATTTATTTTATAAAAGAAAATTAGTATTTCTTCTTATTTTATTCATTCTTATTTGATGTCCTTTTTTTTTAAATGTTTTTACTAAAAAAAATTAAAGATCATTTTAATTGGTAGTTGGTTCGAGACTTACAAGGATTGGGTTGGTTTGCCTTAACTTGTTATTTAATTTATTTAAATTTTAATGTGACGTGTTTGGTTGATTGTCTGACCCATAATTTTATCATCAAAATTAATCTATTTATTTAAGATTTTTTTTGGGTAAAAATAATTATTGGGTAATAAATTAATTGATAGAGTAAAATGGATCCGACTCATTAGATGTGTCTGTTTTGTCTGTGTTTTAATGTGGGACGTATCAGGGTTTACGCCTTCATCTTTTAATGTATCTGTCTTATTTTGTTCTGTTTTTTTGTTTTGTTTTTGCGGATATGAGTATTTATATAAAATTTTCTATTTTTAGGTTTAGAATGTACAGTGTCCGCAGATTTTTTCCGTCTCGCTTTTACTTTTTTGCAGGACAGGTCTCGATTTTAGGCTCACGTCTTCAATTATGTCTGTTCGCTCTGCCTTGTCTTTTTGTGGACTTTTACGGGTGGATCTAAATTGAGCGGATATATTCGTTTGCACTTCTACTGATAGTGGTGACTATAATTTATAGTTTATAGCGGATGACGTGTTTGATAAAATTAACAATTTAATTATATGATAAATTAAAATGACATAAAAAATATTTAACATTTAATTGTGTTTATTTTCAATTAAAATAAATTATAAAAGATAGTAATAGGTTTTTGTTAAACAAATCTTTTATTGTCCTATTAATTTATAAGGTATAAGCTAAAAAAAATTCTAGTAAAATCGAGTCTATAAGTTGATTAGCAAGTTGTGTTTAAAAAATAAAAAAAAAACTAGTAACATTTATATTCATTTCTAACAATTATATTTATTTCTAACAATTTAAATGAATGAAATACGTCATATAATATCTAATAAATTTTATATACATACTTAAAATTTGATAATAGTAAAAAATTCTCCAAGACACATTTACTTTTAAAAAATATAAAAACTAAAAATTATACAAAAGAAAATAAAAAACAACTAACATTTAGACTTAGAATTACATAAACTCATTGAACTAGTAATGGTATTAGTGTTAGATAGTTTTTTGACAAAATTGTATTTAATTGTGAGATATTAATTTTATATTTTTATTTAAAATAATAATAAAAAATAAAAAATTATTAATATCACATCATTGAATTGAGTAAACGAATTTGCAGATTGAGAAACTCAAACCTAATATTTGAATTAAAAGTATATGGTTTATTGCTGGTTAGATTCAACATATCCATAAATAAATGAGTTCGAATAATTTAAAATATGAGTCAGCGTGTTGGATGGTCGATCCGCTTCATGAACATTCTATAGTTGTTTATAGAAAAACTGAGAGAACAAACCAATTAATATAATTTATATTTGATTTTACTATAGAAAATGTGTATTTTTAAAATAAAATAATTAAAAAATATATATTTTTAAGGTATAATTAGTCACTAAATCTTTTAACTTAATTTTTCACTTTAATTCCTTAACTAAAAACGTTATAAGTTAGTTTTTTAACTTCACTTTAGATATTCTATTTGGTCTTTTTTGTCAATTTTTAGAAGAAAAAAAAAGTTAAATTCTGATGACGTGTCAAAATAGTAAGACCATTCATACAAATTTGAGGCAACATACATAGTTAAAAATTAATACACTTTTAAACTGCAGAGGTTTAATTTTTAGAGGTTAAAAATCTGAAAAATAAAACCCTGCAATTTAAATGATATATCAATTTTTAACTATATAAGCTAACTCAAATTTATAATAATAATTTTATTGTCACGCCACGTGACAAAAATTTAACTTTATTTTTTAAAAAATTAAGGAAAGACCAGATAAAGTAGTAGAAGGGAAATTAAGGAATTAACTTATAACATTTTTTTAATTAAAAAATTAAAGAAGAATACTAAATTAAATTAAGAGACTAAAAATATATATTAAGTCTTTTTTTAATAATTTGTAATAAAAAAATGAATATTTTTTTATATACCTTTTCAATTTTAGTTATTTCATATCAAACAATAAAATTAAGAAAATTAATTTAAAAAATTAATTGGAGATAACATATAAGAAAAAACCTATTTTTTAAATAAAAATTGAAATGAAATTATTTTTTGAATTGAATATTGAGTTTTAAATAATAAAATAATAATGACAGTATAAATTATTGAGTTTCTATTTTTAAAATTATTTTAAATTTCTGTAAAAGATTAAATAAAATAAAATATTATTTTTATATTTAAATTATTACACACTAACATAAAATATTTTACAAAAATATTCAATCAAATTATAATATATTGTATTTTTTATAGTACTACCTATCTGGAGTATTGTATATAAATTAAAACAATTTTAAAATGGAAAATGAATATAAAAAGCAAGCGTGATTTTCAAAATGTCAATTTTTTAAGAAAATAAACATTTTTTATTGGCCCGGAAACACCAATAATGTAAAAATTTTAATGCGAAAAGGCTGACGATTGAGTAGTATCATCGTTTGACAGCAACACTGTCCTGCCGACTCTGCTATGTTTATGCTAAAAACCTCACCACATGCATACTTTCATGCCTGTCAGCCTCTTAAAATAAGGAACTTGATAGTGGAGTTTTTAAAAGACAAATGGCAACAACTGCGTAGAAAATATTACTCAAATAAGAGTGCTTACCTAGGAAACCTAAAACATTAGTGCTTGTGATTATATATTTACAAAGTCAATAAAGATGGGGACCAAGGTAAAAATTTGAATTTTTTTTAAAGTAGCAATGTTATAATTTTTATTTACCAAACAAATTATTGTTTCAAAAATATTACTAAAATGTCAAGGTTTGGAATTGGATCAATGTGCATTCGCCAGATAAATTGACGAAACAGACAAAATTGGCTTTGAACCAATTCGCCAAATGAAATGGCGAATGAGCTTTGCAGAGTTGGCTTTGTGGGCATTCGTCCATTCAATTGGCGAATCAGGTTTATTTTTTAGGGTTTGTTTCGTTTTTCAATTTGCTTTTAATTATCATATAATATATTTTAAAGTTTTAAAGTTTTAAAATTATCATATTATAAGAGAAAATCATATTAAAGTTTTAAAGTTTTAATTATCATATTTAAAGTTTTAAAATTTAATTGTTTTTTGATTTTAATTATTATTATTATTATTAACCATAAAATATATTAATTTATAATATAATTAATATTAATATAATTGAAATATATTCGTAAGTATAAAGTGATAATAAAATGAAATTATATTAATTTATAATGTAATTAAAAATACACGAACAAAAATATAAATATAATGAAAATTACAAAAAAAAAACCCTAATGATCGGCTCTATCCAAGTGACCACCGGTGCCACATTGGGGGGGACGCGTGTTGCGACGAGGTTGTTGTGGTGTGTCAGGATGTTGTGTGTTCAGTTGTGGTGGAGGGTTCTGTTGGGACGGCCCCGGCGTATCAGCTAGATCTTGCATCATTTGACCCCAATAGCCGGGAGGTCCCATGTCACATGCACTTCCGTAGTCAAGGCCAATGCCCATGTTTTGGTACGATTGTCGGGGAGGGTGGGTGGAGTATGGACGGTATGGTTGTCCGAAAGTGAACATGGAGTTGGGTGTGGTAGTCAAATAGTGGGTGGTTGGAGGTGTAGTTGGAGGGGGTAGGGTCGAATGAGTTGTCCGGGATATAGGTGGCAGGGGTAGGATCAAAAGACATATCAGGGCTGTACTGGTAAGATGGTTGAGGCTGAGATTGGATTGGTGGCATGTAAGGTGGTTGTTGTTGATAGGGGGTATATGTTGGCATGGATTGGTCTTCGTATGGTGGTTGTTGTTGATGGGGGGTGTCTGTTGGTATTTGTGGGTATGATGAAGAACCGCGTTCCCTTGGATCGGCCAAATAGGTTGGCTGGGACAGGAAAGGCTGGGTTGTCGTGACATACCTAAACCAAGTCATATATTGAAGACTTGGCCTAGCCCCGTGCACAATACTGTCGGTTAAGACGTATTGCCTTCTTCTTTTCCAAAGTACACGCAGCTCCTTTGCAAACTCCTTCCAATCACCAACCATCCACTGTGCGTCTACCCGTTTTTGATGCCACTTCCCCAAGTCTACGGGAGCATCTGGAATATCTTGATGCATCCCAAATTGGAGTTTCACCCGATCACTTTGGTGCATCTCTACCGTAGTGAACCTAATTATAGGTGTCTTTGCTGTCCTCACAGCGGCATCGTCGGGGTTGGGCTGGTGGTCGAGACCCTCGTACGACATCCAGACAAACTACAATATAGTTGTAAAATTAAGTTAGACAGGATGTGTGAAGTTTATGCATATACATTAAAAAAAATTAGGGTAAATAGCTTACATCGTTTGGCCCAAGGTGGTCGATTAGGTTGCGGTATTGAATTATAGAGTGCCTTGGACATTTCTCATAATTCATCCCGGGTACAGACCACCTAAAAAAATAAACACAAGTTAGAAATTATTAACTGAAATAGAATACGTAGCTGCTAAATAATGTTGAAAAGATACTTACTTTTTTGCGTAGGGGAACGTAAAAGAATTTCTGTTTATTGGAGCAAGCATTGGCATCCTCAACCAACCCCAAGCTTGCAAAAGATAGGCACAACCAAAAAAAGTACAAGATTTTTTTTT